AAAACCTATGTCCTGAAATGTCTGAAATATTTACTATGTGGCCATTACAGAAAAAGTAGGCCACCTCCTGTCTTAGACCATTATGTCCACCTAGATTAGTGGCTCCGGCCCGTGGCAAAAAAGCCCGTTTATCTCACTTGTAGGGGATGGAATTAGACACAGAGCTGTATATTTCTATACCAGACTGTGCCACACAGAAGGGAATGAATAGGTCATTCCTCGGGCTCTGGGCTCTCTCCATTCAAAACTCAACAGGCACAGCATGAGCCTACAGCCTGGTGAATGGGTGATCTCAGGAGATGCAAAACTCCCCAGAGGCAGGTCCCCAATTTGATACAGTGGTTGGGGGTGGGGAAGTGGCAAACCCTGTCTGATTTCTCAGTCTATTTCCCATGTAGATAGCTACAGGAGACCAAGTTTCATTACTATTACCCTCAGACCTGAATAATGAGAAGCAAACTCTTTCTTACCTATGTCAAGGTGAAAACATAATGAGCTGAAATGTCAATCCTTGTACTCAATCAGTGACCTCAGGGAGAGCCGTATAACCTCTTGGTAAATTACCAGTTCTGTCTCCTCCAGGAAATGACATTAGTATCTGCAACCTTACCAATCTCATTTATTTTTCCCCACGAAAATACAATATTTAGTTACCAAATTTTAAATTTTAACAATTATATCTCCTGGGTCAAGTGGGATAGAGTACCCTGCAGCATAGCAACTAGAACATTTGGATGAATACGGAAACCATGTGAAAAACACATTGTATAGCTGCTAAGAAAAAATTGGTCTCAAGATCCAGAGATGGGAAAACATCAGAAAGGTATACCCATGGCTGTAGTTAATTATTGACTTTGTTTATGTCATGTCCACCTCGGAGTCAGGGCAGGAGGTGTTACAGCATTATGACTGCCATGGGAGGAAAATGCTCCCTTTCTGAAAGAAGATAAACCTCACCTCAAATTCTGCATTTTTTTCATATATTATATCTGGCATTTAGCCAGAAGTTATTAGACATTTCAATGATACATAGAAGTGAGCAGAAGAAGAAGAGTAGGGGGAGGAGAAGGTCATAAAAACAGACCCACGCTAGGGAGCATTTCTCACCTACTTTTATACGACATTGTAATCTTGATACCAACACTCTGACAAAAAAAAATTGTGAGGAAATGATTACAGACCAAAAGGCTATATGAATAAAAATACAAAAGTCCTTGTAAAATATGGAGGTGATCAAATCCAGCTGTCTGTATAGACTTAGGCATATTTAGTGAGGAAAGTGAAGCCAATATATAATCATACCAAGGGACACCGAGACCCATTTGATAAAATTCTCCACACATTCATGACAAAATTATATAAAAATAAGAGAAAGAAGCAAAATTTCCTAATGTCATAAAGAATATATACCCAAACTACTTAAAGCAGCATTCTCAATGATGAAATACTAAACCTCCATCCCTTCCTGCAGATCAGAAATGAAACAGGGATGTCCACTGTCACCAGTTCTCTTCAACACTGTCCTGTAATCCTGACCAGTTCAACAATTTGTATA